TAAAAAATTATATTATTATTATTAAATTTATTATTAATATAAAATTATTATAATTAAAAAATATATATAATAATATATATAATATAAAATATATATTAATTTATAAATTAATAATAAAATAAATAAATAAAATAAATAAATATAAAATTATTTATTTTTTTATATTAATTATAATAATAAAAAATATAATAATAAATATAGAATATAATAATAATATAATAATAATAAATAATATAATAAAATAAAAAGTATATTTCGTAAAGCCACAAAATTAATTTCGAATATATAAATAGTAAAAAAAAAAAAAAAGATATGTGAATAAATTTAATACGAACATATAACAATAATAATAATAATAATAATAAAAAAAGAAGATAAACTTTATTGAAATAATGATGAAAGTTAAAACCAACGGATTTTCATAAAATAATTTGTAATATTTCATTTCTGCATATTATAACATTTCATTACATAAACATTTATGTACAAATGATTTATAAAGATTAATTAAAAACACACACGCACACATAGCATTGATATAAATCAAGTGTTCCATATTTCAAATGTAGTTTTTCATTTGCTTAGGTGCACATTATCGAAGGTAGTCCCTGTTATAAAGCCGATTATACCAATGTTTTATATAAGATTCTCATCTAAGTGGATTAACCTAATGCATTTATGGTGTATCTGACCGCAACCCTTAAATAACATACTTTTTACACGCATACAATAAGATAGTAAATGAGAATGAAATTTTCAGGTTATTTTCTTCAAGATTTCTTTCTTGATTTTCCTTTAACGTCGTCGCCATTTTCATTCGCGATTGAATCGTAGTAAACACGTATGTAATCATAGACAGGAAATTAAGTAGAAGAGGGAAGTGTATGAGTGGTAATACGTGTTAGAATGTAATAGGATGTAACATTGATTCAGATTCCAACAATTGTTATATATATATATATATGTATACATATACTTTTTACTCTATAAAAACAGGTCGATAGTGACAGTATATATATATATGTATATATAAATATAACTTATCATTTTTGTTAAAGTAGTAGTTGTTTTCCACGTAGCAGAAAATTAAATGAAGGTAAATATATATATATATATATATATATTTATTTATTACTAGTATGTGTGTGTGTGTGTGGATTCTTCGCAATATAGAGTCTATTGATTCCGCCATGTCATCATACATATTTCACGAGAGATATGCTAGTTTCGTTTATTATTAATAAATCACACTACTACTACTACACCACACACACATACACACATATACTTGCAAACAGAATATATATATTATTATTTAGAGAGAACTTGATAAAAATATATTACTGAAAAAACCTGTGTTATATTAAAATTCATAATATTTTTATATATGTATTAAATTGTGTTACATTTGAAATTTGGCGGGTTAAACGGGAATCCCCCCCCCTGTTGCGCGGGAAATTTTGAAATTTGATTTTCCTTTGTTCTTTCTTTCTTTTTTTTTGGTATTATTTTGACGTTGCTTTTATTACTAACAAAGTATGTATATATTTTCGTAGTTTTGTTACTTGAAAATGTTAGCATATGTTCTCTAGTTTAGATGTTAAAATTAGGAGAATTCTAAGTCAAGGTAATTTCAAAATGGTGTCCGTAAATTGTTGCCACTTAACACTCGGTCGATTTTACAACATGTGTGTTGTTGTTCAATACTATTCTAAACTATTCTTTGATAGTATTCAAAACGATGGATATTAGAAACATTAGAGGTGAAAATATTATTCATCGTTTATCTATTTAGTGAATAAATAAATGAATAAATAAACGATAATATTAATCATTAGAAAACGAAGCTAATTAAATAGAGATAAATGCATCTGAATGAATTTTGATAGATCAGTTTCGTTTGAATATGTATACGAATATTATTATATTACAAATACGACTAATTTGTATAATTATGATGCGATTAGATAAATTATCATATATATGTTGTTGTTATTATTATTATAATTATTTAAAAATGAAAATATTCGATGTTTCCCTCTGCAAAGGTTAACAAATTTTTAGAAAACAATTTATAGAATTTCATTAAAATAATAAATTAAATTACGAAGAAGAAATACAAATTTACATATTTAGAGCACACACACACATATATATATATAACTAATTCAATTACAGATTAAAATATTTTTACGGATAGTTGCTATTAATAGGAACGACAAATGAATCCTATTCGAAACAAAATGAAAAATAGAATAAAAATAGAATGGAGTAAAAAAGGAGAACAAAAAGGGTTGAAAAAAAAAAAAAGAAATTTTAAAATGAAGGAGAGTGCTTGGAATGCTTGGGATTTGAACGTTCAAACTATATATTCGCCATAGTTCTCGATCCTTTCCTTTCTCGTATCGCATACCTGATACATACCGATAACTTCCAAGCCAATAACTTGCGTGTAAGGCTTATATTTTGATGGCATATGGACGCCGAGAGAGAAAGAGAGAGAAAGAGAGAGAGTGAGCTTCATGCTCGATCGAACAATGCGATTTATACGAGCAATGCGAACTCGAAGCTTCTATTAGAGAAAAAGAAAGAAAGAAAAAAGAATTGAGAGAGAGAGAGAGAGAGAGAGAGAGAGAGAAAAAAGGGTTAATCGTTTTTCGATCATTCTTTCTGCCAAATAAAAATTGATAAATATACAGAAGAGAGTAGAGGGAATATATTTTTCGATTATTATAGCAAATAATTCTCGTAGGTTATAAAAAAGAAAAAAAAAATGGGACGTCCGATATTATAAAATATTCGATTACTATTCGATATCTTTTAAAACGAGTTAAACATCCTCCCTTGTAAGCATCTGGCATATCGTGTTACAGTATTCGAGAATATCATTTATCGAAAATATTCGAAGGAAAAAATTCTATATTATACAAAATTTTTTATAATTATACTTTTCTTTCTTGTTTTTTTTTTTTTTTTTTACGAAAAAATAATGAACTCTAATCAGGGTAATATATTCGTGTTAATATATTGGGATCTTTAGCACTTGAATACGCTATCTGGTGGCTAAATTCAAAATTAGAGTAAATAAGTCGAATTGCTACACCACCAGGTCCCTGCCAGAGATCCCAATACGAATTAAAAAAAAAAAAAAAAAAAAAAATAATAATTAGATCGCGTAAATTTGTTGTTGTTTTTTTTATGTTATTTTCTAAGAACTGAAACAAATCATATTGCAATTAATTTTCAATTCACGAAAATTATTACTTCCATTTCTATTAGCTAAAAGATTGCACAATGTTAATATTCAATTTATTAAATCAAATAAATAGATTTATTTGAAAATATTAATTAAACGAATGTAAAGAATAAAATAAAGTACCGTTTATCCTAGAATAATGTACATACGGATTATCGTACTATAAATAAGTATTAAATAATACCATTAATCCTATGTACTTAATAAAGCACTTACTTCATATATCATTCTTTATTTATTCTACAAACGATTATTGTATTATTCATGAGATAAATATATAGATAGAGTGTATATTATCGATGACTATAGTATATTATAACAATATGAACGTTTTTCAATGACAGTTAGCAGCTATATTACAATTTACACGTGCCAGTTTAACTTATTGCGGAAGCCCTCGACAGGTATTCGTACGCGATAAGTTTGTTTAATCATATTACTACTACAAACTATTGTGCTACTGTATATAAACTTTAAAAATTATTTATTTATTTTTTTTTTTTTATATTTATAATTAATAATAATATTTTTATAATATAATTATAATTATAATATATTTATTTTATAATTTTAATGAATATTATTATCAT